CAGTGCTTTACCCTGCTGTGCGACTGAAGGTGCTGTACTGCTGATTTTTTTAAACCATGCATGCATGTGTTTACGTGTGTTTTTATAGCTGCTTGTATTTGTGTATATGTGTGCAGAACATTCCACCCATCATATAACACACTGCAGAGTATTTCAACTCATCACATAACATACTGCAGAACATTCCATCCATCACGTGGCACACTGCAGAGCACTCCACCCATCCTATGACATTGTAAAGCATTCCACCCATCCTATGACACACTACAGAGAATTCCATCCATCCCATGACACTCTGCAGATGATTTCACCTATCTCATGATACATTTCAGAGTATTCCACCTATCCCATGACACTGCAGACCAGTCCATCCATCACATAGCATACTGCAGCACATTCCACCCATCCCATGATGCACTGCAGAGGATTCCACCCATCCCATGACACTGCAGAGCATTATATCCATCACATGACATACTGCAGCACATTCCACCCATTCTATGACACACCACAGAGCTTTCCACCCATCCCATGACACTGCAGAGCATTCTATCCACCCCTTGATACACTACAGAGCATTCCACCCATCCCATGATACACTGCAGAGCATTCCATCCATCCCATGATGCTGCAGAGCATTATATCCATCCCATGATACTCTACAGAGCATTCCACCCATCCAATGATACACCACAGAGCATTACAACTATCCCCTCATACACTGCAGAGCATTCTACCCATCACATGACACTGTAAAGTATTTCACCCAGTGGCAGAACTACCAGGGTCGCAAAGGTCGCACTTGTGACCAAGCCTGGTGTTCTGCCTTTGTGGGTGGGGCCCAAGATGGCAGGAAGGGGACCAGCTGCAGAACACGTGAAAGGGTTCCACTGCGGGGCTATAAGAAAAGGGCCTCAGGACCAGTGGGTCAGAGGGGCCCTTCATGGTTTCTTGCACAGGGGCCCTGAAGGTTCTAGTCATGTCTCTGTCTTGGACAGTTATCACACGTGTCCTCATTGGAATATTACCTTTACCTCTTTCTCTACTGACAACTGTAAATTTTGAGTTTCCCATCACTTTCTGTCAGTGACAATGCTCACCAGGACAAACAGAGAAGGTGAATTTATCCAGCAGGGAAACATACAGCAATAACAACTTGACAGGAATTTTACTGCTTACCTACTCTATCCAATATTGAAAACAAATGCCTACATGTGTACAGTATATACAGTATATATAAATGAATGTCCACACAAAACTACAATTTCACTCACGGGTGGATGTTTATTGCTTGCTTCCTGCAGTTCTTTTTACTGTATGTGCCAGTGATTTCAACCACTGGACCGGAGTTGTGGAGAAGAAACCCTTGCCTCATCAACTTGGTGCCCCCCTCCATGTTGAGGACATGTGGCCTAGCCTGCCAGGCTGTGTGCTCAGATTGGGGTTTAGTATAGATTTTGGGGGACCCTATGCCATTTTTTGTGTGCATTTCCCCTTTGGAATTCGTAACAGACCCTGAGAGTTTGATATGGATTTTTTGCATAAAGATCCCCCTTAAAATCCATACCAGATTTTTAGGGGAGGGCTTAAAGTGGTTCTAATGACTACACAAGTACCTCCATAGAAAGTGGCTTGTGGCATGGGGGCACTAGGTGGGGAAGAAGCCTGGAGCACAGCCAGGGGACCCAAGAAGAGGAAGACCAGGGCTGTTCTTTGCAAAGCCATTTCACAGAACAAGCTGACTTAAGGACCCCTAATATACATACCAGACTCTAATCCTCATTGATGATGGCATAAGGACCCCTAATATACATACCAGGCTTAATCCCCATTCCGTTATTTTTTTACAAAATAAAGGAAGCTTGCAGGAAATTGTAACTCCTAGATTTAAATGGCATTTCTTGTTTTTGGAAATGTCACATTTGCTGTAGTACTTTGCTTACTACTTTGCATGTGATACATCCTTGAGATGGACCACTTCACGATCGGTGATTTAAGGAATCCCCCCCAGGGAGCAGGTCTTTTAAAATGGAGTAGTGCATTTTTAATACTCCATTTTTAAAAGAGAAGTATGGCAATCTTTAAAAAAAATCATACTTACCTAGGTGGATGCAGCATTGGTCTGATGCTGCATTTGTCCCCCGCCAGCTCTGCACTGAGAACTGAGCGATCATACACCGCTGGTAGCTCAGCTCTCTCTCTCTGCCACTCTAAGCTGTCAGTCACCGCTGTCTGCTCTTCCCCCCCTCCCCACTGGAGTGCTGTGCTGTGGAGGGGGCTGGAGCAGCTGGCTCAGGCTCTCATCAGTTCCAGTCCAGACTCCTGGCAATGTTTAAAAAAAATCATTACTTACCTAGGTGGAATGCAGCATCGGTCTGATGTGACATTTGTGTGTCCCCGCCAGGACCATTCCCCAGCTTGGACCGACTGTGATATCAGCTGAAAACAGATTTTAGCCAAGGGCCTCTTCTGCACAACCCTAGACGGTGGCTGTGGGGGTCTGTGGGTAAAATCTGGAAGACCTCTTTAACAAGGAAGCCCCCAGATCCTGCCCCCTCCCATGTGAGTAGTATGGGGTACTAATTCACCAAAAAAGTGAGTAAAAACACAATAACAGTTTTTGACAAGTCAATCACACGAACCTAAAAAAAAAAAGAGTTCTGCACCTGACAAAATTTTCCGCTGTCTGACCATGCCCTGGGGGTATGCTGGGTCGATGATGTCACAAGGGTTTGGGGGTCGCCCAGTGATGTCATCAGGTGGCCCCAGCCCTTAATTATTTAAGAACTGTCAGAGGGTGAAGCTGTCAGATGATGGGAACCTTCGTCGGGTGCAAAGCGCTTTTTTTTTTTCTTGGGTTGGTGGTTGGCGTTCATTGTGGTAGACATTGTATCTACTTCAGGGTACATTTATTTTTTGTTTTTGTTTTTTTTTAAAAAAAAGGGCTTGTCAAAAACTGTTGTGTTTTTACTCACTTTTTGCACTTTTTTGGTTGATGAGTAGGGGATAGGGGGGCCAGGATCTGGGGCCCCCCTTGTTAAAAGGAGCTTCCAAATCCTGATAAGCCCCTCGCCTGCAGACCCCAATTAATATGGGGAAAGTCCCCTACCCCAAATCACCTCTCCATATTGAGGGCATGTGGCCTGGTATGGTTCAGGGGCGGAGAAGCTCACTCGTCCTCCCCCCTCTTTCCTGAGCTACCTGAAAAGGGTCTGGTATGGATTTTAGTGGGGTCCCCATGTCATTTTTTTTTTAAATGTTGGCGTGAGGTTCCCCTTAAAATATATACCAGACAAAGATACATTTTTTTATTTATATTCAGCTGCCAATGGGGAAATCCACTGACAGCTGATGAGTCATCCATTGTTAAGTACATGGCGGCCAGCTTATCATCCCACTCCTTAACAGTCAGCTATTCTTTACACAGAATTTGGATCGGTCAATACATTTTCGTCCGATTTGAATTGTTCGAAGATTTGGGATTCATTAGAAAACAAATAAGCAAAATGAAACTAAACAAATTATATTGAAATTCATTACTATTGTTATTCAGAAATTCAGATTCACCCAAATAACCAAAAACGCACCCGAATTTAGATTTAGACTGAAACAAATTGCTCATGTCTGCTTTATGCCCTCTGCTGTAACTCGGGGGAAGCCTTACCTGTGCCTTAGTAAGCACGCAGTCTTTCTGCACCCTGTGTGAGCACATGTTGCATTACAAACTCTGAGATCTGCTTAGTGGCAGCTGGAGATCATATTATATTCTACATAATATTTATATATTTGTTCTCACTAATCAGAAGTGTATGTATCTTTCTTCAATATAGAAAGCAGTGCACGCACTGGATTTTTCTCCAGTGCAAAGGAATTTGAATTTGTTTAGAGAATTACAAAGACTGTTGTTTTTGGAACCATCTCTGCTGTTGGAACTGCTGTACTGTGATAGACTGTTTGATTTCATCTCTGCAAAAACACCTGCCTTCTGCATAATGTGTGAGTGCATACAGATATAGCTGCACTGCTCACAAATACAACATGTCTGAACAAGAATATATGCATCTATTACAGTCAGACAGGGAACAGCCATTTCTAAGTACTCCTCTCCTCCTATCTCTTCCTTTTCCAATGGTGAAGATGTTGGCTACCCCCATCTAGGGCATCAATTTTTGCAACCCGCCACCCAACCTAACCACTTTCCACTTCCTCTGTAGTCCTTGCTTACCAACAAAATCATGCTGTAGAACCTCACTCACCATTGATCAATGCCCCAACCCCTTTTTTCCCCAATTTCATTGTAAAAAAAAAAAATCAGTTAATACTGCAATACACCAGGATTACATTTAAGGCCTCATGTATGCCGGTTGTTTAGCCCTCATATAGCAGCATTTTTGTATGTGTAGGAAGCACAGGTGCACTGTCCAGCCCTACTACTGACAGTCTGTAAAACTCTATGATAGACTGAAAGCTGTTGCAGCTGAATGGGACTGGACAGTGAAGAGAGAAGTGCTTACGTTTAGGGCAGGATGTGCCCAGGGAGGAATGTCTAGAATGCAAGATGTCATTTGCTGCTCTACATGTTAGTACCAGTCACTCAGGGTGCATGAGGCCTTAGTAACCTACTCAGCCTTAATTTTGCCATTTTCTATACATGTAATGATCAGATCCCAGTAGATGTTACAGTTATTACTTCTCATTTGTAAAGTATACCATTCTGCTTTCATCTTAAATGCAGCAAACCTTTCTGTTGCCCATGCACCTTTTCTTTGAGTATAGTACATTGTATCATTTCTTGATGCTGTTAAAAGAAAAGAATACACAATATACAGAAGCTTTGAAAATAAAATATGAGAAAAATGACAAAGTTGCTTTGCAAATAACAGGATATTACACATGTATCACTATTTTAAATGTGTGCTGCCATCTACTGATAAAACATGACATGCAGTTATTAGTTTTTGTTAAACGGAAGATGTATTTTCAGTCAGTGTGGACCATACTTTGCACAGTAATACACAGCAGTGTCCTCCGTCTTCATTTTGTCCATTTTTAAATTTAATTCATTTTTACTGTTATCTCTGGAGACTGTAAATTGTCCTTTAATAGAGTCAATATAGTTTTTGGTGCTACCATCTGGGTGAATCTCACATAACCACTGCAGCGGTCCATTAGGAGACTGCCTGATCCATGCCATCCAAAAGCCTGCAAAGTTGAATCCAGAAGCTGTACAGGTCAGTGTGTGGGAATTTCCTGGCTTTACCACTGCTGGTTCTGACTGAACAAGTTGTGCTGAAGAATGGACATCTGAAAAAAATATGATACAACATGATATCTAACTACCATTAAAATTCTTTAGAAAGTGAATATCAGACAAAATGGCACTTTAAGACTCACCTGATAAACATATTAGTAAAACAAGAAAGCTCAGTAAAGTCTTCATTGTCTCTGTATCAATCTATACATTAGGGAGAAGATTTGTGTTTGCCTATATATCTGTATGAGAGATTTCAACATACAGCATGACGTCACATAATTTGACTATCATTAAAACTATGTATATCTGTGGCTCGGAAAACTTGTGGAAATGGGCCAAATAACTTTGCTGGCACAGGCACTACATAATTTTGACCTGTTTTTTTTTTTTATTAGTTTGAGTTTGAGGATAGATTTTCACATTGCACTGAACGCAGCACAAAATAATAAGGACCAAAACATACTTTTGTGACTGGATGCATTGCATTTTTGCAAATCACAATGCCGCATTTCTAATGGCACCCCAATATGATGCACATGCGTTACATATTTTGCACATCTTGCCACTTAAGTGATTGCAGCTACATCAGTTTAAGTGTATGTATAGTTAAACCTTTACTTTTTAGTTTTTGATAGAGGAGGGAATGGTTACCATCTGCCATTTTATGTTTTGATTTAGGTTATCCATGGTATTTTATTTTTCAGTTGGTACTTATCTTTCAGGTAGAGGATAATTAACTCTACAGATTTGGCTCCAATTGACTTCAGTGGGGTTGGAATTTGGCATCTGACCTTGTGATGATAAATGTGCTGAATGTCCAACAACCCAAACCTGGGATAATTTGGTCTGTCTCTAAGGGCTATGGGGCTGTAGGGCTGGGTGCTTGGATTGCCTTAAACCCCCCCCCCCCCAAAAAAAAAAAAACAAGTGCCAAAACAAACAGGAGGGGGGGGGGATGAGGCGGACAAGCAGAACTTCCCCTTTTGGTTGAAGTTCTGCTTTAATGGCTTGTGCTTTTTAACCTGCCCTCTAGGTGGTGCACTCTCTGCTCACAGGGTTACAAGAACCACTAATATATCCTCTATTTTTTCTTCATATTAACTTTCCATAATTACAAATTCAGTACATAGAGGTGCTGTTGGATAAAACGTTTAAAGCAGCATAACATGTTTGATAGTAAAATAGTAAATTGGGCATCAAAAGTGACCAGGGCTCACTACCTTTTTAAATCTCCAAGAACCTAGTGGCAGAGGTAGTCACTTGCTGGCAATCAGCTCATTATTAATTCCAATTTCCACATCCAGGTAATCTCAATATGTTGCACATAGGGTAACTGCTAAAGAAAGGTTCAATTTCTGTAAAGCATGTCATCAAAACTGGCTATATAATTAAAGTGATTCTAAAGCTTCAAGGTTTTTTGTACCTTAATGCATTCTATGCAATAAGGTAAAAAAGCCTTCTGTGCCACAGACTTGCCCCCTCTTCGTCCTTATACTTATCTGAGCCCCATTGCAGTCCAGCACTGTGCACAAGAGCTGAGGCTCTCCTGGTTTTGTTCTGCCTCACTGAGCAGATAGATAGCAGAGGGAACCATTTGATCCTGCTCATGACAATCAACTACAGTGATAAGGGAGTGGGGGGGGGGGTCAATGGACACAGCAACAGGACTCAGGAGCTCGCATGAGTGCCCCATTGGAAGCACCAGCAAGAGAGGAGGAGCCAGAAGTGCTGGCAGGAGACCCATGAAGAGGAGGAGGATCAGGGCAGCTCTGTGCAATTCTATTGCACAGAGCAGGTAAGTATAGACACGTTTGTTATTAAAAAAAATCCTTTACACCCACAGGGGCAGACTGACCATTTGGAAACTCGGGCACTGCCCGAGGGCCCGGGATCAGTAGGGGGCCCCGTGAGATGCCCCTGGTACCTTTTTCATAGGCTTATTTGAGTTTGGGCAAGGACACAGGGGCCCCATGACCCCCTATTGCCCGGGGGCCCCATGAGTTGTCAGTCCACCCCTGTACACCCACTTTAACTTTTAGAGCAAGCTATTGAGTGATATGTTTAGTAATAATAAAAAAAAAACAGCACAAGGGATATTATTTGCTATCAGTGTGATGTATCCCTTGTGTTGCTGACTCCTGGTTTAGGTGAAATATTCCTCCACCAATTCCCCCCCCCCCCCACTTTGCCACTGTAATCTTTCAATATGCCAGCGGTTAAATGGAGATAAGGGAGCTGTGACAAGCAGTCATCAAGAGTGCCTACTATGCCCACCCTTTTCTAACCCACCTCCATTAATCAAAATCGTATACAGCTTCTATGAGTTAAACATGATTTATAAATGGAGGATGGGCGGGTAATTGAAAGGTCCACCTCCTCCATTCATAGATCATATTTTATTCATAGATGCAATAGTGAGGCTTCCATAAATGGAGGATGTGGGCATAAAGTGGGGCATAGTTTGGCACTCTTGATGAGTGCCTGTCACAGCTCCCTACATTTTATAAACTCCTCTTGTGCACATAGATTTTGGTAGCAGGAATGGGGGAGGAATATTTCTTCTAAACTAGGAGACAGCAGCACAATGGACACATCACACTGATAGCAAGTAAAGTCCCTTGTGTTGATTTTTGTTTTACTAAACTTGTGCTTTAGAGCCAGTTCACACCAGAACAAAGTGTGGGAAAGACATGCTCCATGCATGTTTCCCATGCTGTGTTTAAAATGCACTGGGCTTGTGATCTGCTGTCGGGTGCCAGTCCATTGTTAACTACACCCCAAATGCAGATCACAAACACAGTGCGTTTGCCTGCACTAGATCACATGGTACCACAATATCATGCATTTTGGCATTTGTGTTTTTAAAAAGGAGTGCATGCACCACTTTTTGTGCAATGCAATTTCAGGCCACAGCACTGAATTGTTCAGGATTGCGTACCACATTCCTGTGTGATTCAGGTGTGAACCAGCTCTGAATTTCTTGTTGGCAAAATGCCTAAAAACTGCCCAAAAATTGGAAACAAGACAGCAAATTGATCAAGTTTGCCTTTTCATTACATAAATTCACAGGATTTTACAGCATTGCAACTAGCCAATGATGTCCTAACAACTGATGATGTCATTGGTTTGTAAGAAGCCTGTCAGGTGCTCTTTATTTGCCCCTCTCCGTCAGAACTGGAGTCACATTAGCTGAGTGAGGGAGAGAAACTGAGAAGAGAAACATTGGAATACTAGTCAGTACCAAGGTGCAAAAGTGTATTTGCTTTGTAGAAATAAATCAACCTTAATGTTGGGTGTCCATGTGTGTGGATGTTGCTGCTTTATGTAAAACTGTTAGTTTAGTTTTTTACAATTTAGTATGGGGCACCTTAAGACTGCAGAATTTTAAAGGGTGCCACAAAAAAAAGGTAGAAAAAGCATTACAAACTCTGGCTTATGCTGTACTCAAGTAAAGTTCTAAAGATTATTTGCTGCCACCTACAGATAACATAGAAGTAAGGAAATAGATTTTGTTATCAGCCTATGTCTTTTTTAAATCACTGTGTGCCTAGCACAGTAATATATGCCGGAGTCTTCAGTTTTCAGGTTGTCCATTTTTAAAGATGCCAGGTTAATACTATTATCTCTGGAGACTGTAAATCGATCTTTAACAGAATCATGATACTCTTTAGTGCTCCCAGTAGGCTTGCTTATGGATGCAACCCATTGTAACCCCCCACTGGGAATCTGTCTGATCCAATGAAAAGCATAGTCACTAAAAGTAAATCCAGAGCCTCTGCAAGTCAGTGTGTGGGAGCTTCCCGGCTTTATCACTGCTGCATCTGATTGGACTAACTTTGCAGTATCAGACTGGACACCTGAAAAGTAAAAAGTATATTAAAGTAACCATTGTATATGAATTGTATAGGGGTAATACTGCCAGCTAAAATAAACAAAGGATTAACAAAGGATTTGCTGGCTATGCGTTTTACCTGATAAGCACATTAGTGGTAAAAGTAGGCTCAGTATAATCATTTTGGTGTTGCATTCAATTGTAGTTCACAAAATATGAGTGTATAACACATTACGTGGTCTACCTTTATGTTTCCTGAGACAGCTACAGATAGGAAATGACGTGGCTTCATTTGCATTTTAGCTGTCCTAAGTTCCCACCCATTCACTTTAAAGGAATATATACAATCAAGAAAACAAGGAATATGTAACATTTAAGTATTACGTGTACCAAGAGGAGTGGACTGGAGAGGATTTTTTTATATCACTAATTCTAATCCTCTCATTATGCAAATAAACTAAGAGCAGGTTCACATCTGTCTGCTGCAGTTTGGCCGCAGCTCTATTGTATGTGCAGTTTACCCAAAGATTTACGTGTGCTCCCATGAATACTAATAGACTGTGCATTTTTCTGAAAGCACATCAAACATGCATCATGCAGACCTTTGATGTGCTTCCATGAAAACGCACGGTCTAATAGAATTCAATGGGAGCCCACCTTAAACCATGGGTAAACTGCACATGCCATTGAACCATGGCCAATCTGCAGTGCACTGGTTTGAACTGGCTTTTCTGATCATTCTTCATTTGGTCTAGCACCATTAACATCATTTTGTTTAAATAAAATTTAGCTTGTACAATTCCAACAATTATCAAAGAAGTCGAGACCTTCTTTCAGTATAGCATACAACTTTCTAAAATTATAAAGACGGACACCTTTTAGCACACCTGTTAGTATATAGGCAAAGGACATATCTCTGTCACGGCTCAGTCTACATGAACCACAAAAATCTAATATGCAGAAAATGACTGGTGAAACCACACACACTTTTTCGACCTCTGTTTACATTGGCTTTCCATGATGGCAAAATCAATAATATGGAGGTTGGATAAATAGTTTAGAGCAGCATAACACTTTGGCAGTAAAATAGTACATTGTAAAGAGATGTACACATAAGACCAAAAAGAGGGACTGAGGTTGCAAAAGGGATTTGGCCCCAAAGGAGGGACAATCCCTCCAAACGAGGGGCAGTTGGGAGCTATGGTATCATAGTGTATTTGTAGTCCAAAGTTTTATTTATTTAGTCTTAAATAGACTCAAGAAAAGGTTTTTGGTAGATTTGTATTCCACATTAACATCTTGTTTTTGCATTTCTGGTGATAGCTGAAGGGATTTGCATTACTTTGAAGGGATCTACTTTCACTTCCTGTTATGTCTCTGAGACAGACAGTTAAGGGAAATATTCCCAATGGGACACAGATGGCAAAAAAAATAATAAGTAAAATGGAAAGGAGTTCTAACCATTACTCTAGTCAAAATGTAAAACATAGTAATGGCTGTACATACATTTTAAAATACAACTCTAGAAAAACTTAAAATCAATGAAGTGAAGCTGTGCCTGCACAGCAAGGGTCAACTCACCTGTACAGTCTGGGAGACTGAAAAGCACTTTGACTTGCCTAATCTTATGTTTCCCTGGCAGATGGTGCTGCTCCATGCTTCTGTGGAGACTGTCCCTGTGTGTTTTCACATCCAATGCAGGTCTATAGACTCTGCATCAGTCTTGATGATGTCAAAGGACCATAGCCCCACCAGAGTTCAAGGGAGCTGCTCAGAGAAGCCTGCAAGAGCAGATGATTCAGTAAAAAGTTTTTTTTTTTTGTTCGCCTAGACCTAAACTAGCAGTTAAAGTGACACTAAACCCTGGTTTAAAAAATATTTTTTTCTCCATAGTCCCACTGTATGAGAGCTATCCTCTCTTGCTCATTCCAAAGATTCACTAGGGACTATACACTATGGAATGTGTACTGTGCATAGAGCAGTGCACATGACAGCAACTAACCGACACTGCTGTTCCAAACAAAGGGAAGTGAGGGGGAAAAGCAGAGTTTTTTTACTTTCTCCAGTGTTAAAGCGGTTGTAAAGACTCAAGGTTTATTACCTTCATGCATTCTATGCATGAAGGTAAAAAACCTTCTGTGTGCAGCATCCCCTCCAGCCCCTTCAATACTTACCTGAGCCCCGATGCGATCCAGTCCAGATGTACATGACAGCCTCGGCTGTCCTGGGTCTCTGCCTCCTCATTGGCTGAGACAGCTGTCAATCACAGCCAGTCAGCCAATGAGGAGAGATAGGCGGGGTCAAGTCCTGGCTCCGTGTGTGTAATGGACACACGGAGCACGGGTGCCACCATAGCAAGCCTCTTGCTGTGGGGGCACCCAAAAACAGGAGGAGCCAGGAGAGCCTGCGGGGGACCCAAGAAAGAGGAAGCTCCAGGATGCTCTGTGCAAAACAAGTATAGACATGCTTGTTATTTTCCAAAACTAAAAAAATAACCTGTAGAATCACTTTAAGCTTTACGTTAGACTTGCCCTACTGTACAAAGCTATTGTAAATAAACACTCTAGTTAAGCCTCCAGGTGAAATAGATCAGTGGGTCATGATTAAGTGCCCAGAGTACAACCTGATGATTTACTATATAACAGCCTTAAATAACTTGTTCAAGTGGATGAGGATGTGCTACTGTCTGGGACTGGCACCTGGCATGGATGTTGAACAAGGCGACTCACACAGGAAGCTTTGAGCAGTGCTGTCATGTTCTATTGGCAACATTTTAGGTACTTTTCCATATTTATCTGGCAGGGATTTTTACTAAGCCTAAGCTGTATTTTATTAATTTTCTTGTGGTGATCACATTGCAGGAATCCAGTTTGTGGGTTCCCTGCTTCTTTTAACTGGAGGAATTCCATCACAGGTGTGTAACACCATGCAATGTTACTGTTATGCAGAACTGTATTTGGCCACAAGATGGCAGTGTTTTGGAACTTAGTTAGCACACAGCCCATACAGAAATGCTGGGGATGCTGGGACTTGAATGCTGTGAGCCGGATTCTTTCATACAGACTTGCTGAAGCTGAAATACACCGCCCAAGAGGACTGGCAAAGGGGCTGGAGCAATTAAAGAGGAAAACGCCTAGGAACCAGGGGGTAGAGGGGAGAGATTGTGTTGGAGGCCAGATGTAACTGAGCACAGTGGATCCACGTGGGCACTGATGGGTGGCACTGCTGGGGGGCACTGGTGGGTGGCACTGCTGGGCACAGGTGGGTGGCACTAGTAGGCACTGATGGGCACAGGTAGGTGGCACTACTAGGCACTGATGGGCACAGGTAGGTGGCACCACTAGGCACTGATAGGCACAGGTGGGTGGCACTGATGGGCAGCACTGCTGGGTATAGGTGGGCAGCACTGGTGGGTGGCACTGCTGGGCACTGATCATCAGGGCACTGATCATCAGTACCCTGATGATCAGTGCCAATCCATCCTCTGACAATTCTAATTCTAATGGCACGCCGCCCCGCACTGATAAACGCAACCGTACTGGGAACTGAGGTTCCTGTGTGGGCTGCGTTTTCCAAAGAAGTGCAGGGAAGTGCAGAAGTGCAGGGACTTCTTCCCTGTGTGTCACGGGCACAGGAATCCATTCAAATTAATGGGCTCTCGTGCCCGTGCAAAACGCAGCCCGCATGGCCGCATATATGTGAACCAGACGTAAATGCATTGTGTTGCTTCCCTGTCTTTGCCTGATTAGCAAATTGTGTTACCAAGCAATTGAACAGGTGTACCGAATAAAGTGGCCGGTGAGTGTCGATAATCATGGTGAAAAAAATAACGTAGAATACTCATTAGTATTATTGTCATCATTAAATTAATTATTATTAAAAATATTCTCTATAGGTTAATATAATTTATGCTACTGGGCTGCATAATCTTTTTTTTTGAAAATCATCAAAATGTTATAAATTGTCTGGTTGGTTAAATTTCTATGTATTATTAGGTCACTGATGTAGTTTAGCCTTTACTAAAGCTGCTGCTATAAAGAGTATATGCTGCCACCTACAGGTACAATGAGGAAGGAAAGAACAGTTTTTGCTCACTAGGGGTATACATTTTTATCAGTGTGACTCTTGGTTCTTACACAGTAATACACAGCAGTGTCTTCAGTTTTCATGTTGTTCATTTTTAGAGATGTCAGGCTGTTACTGTTATCTCTGGAGATTGTAAATCTATCTTTAACAGAATCATGATAATTTATGCTTGACCCTGAAGGACCGCTTATACGTGAGACCCAGAGAGTTACCCGGGTTTATCACCGCTGGCTCTGACTGGGTAAGTTGTTCTGTAGACTGGACACCTAACAATGAGAAAATATACAAATTACTTTTTTTATTATTATTATACAGTATTTATATAGCGCCAACAGTTTGCACAGCGCTTTACAATATAAGGGAGACAGTACAATTACAATACAGTTCAGTACAGATGGAATATGAGGGCCCTGCTTGTGGAGCTTACAATCTAAAGGTATTTACATAAATTGTGTTCAAATAATACAAAAACTGAATAGAAACAATGGTGAAGAAATGGTTTTACCTGATAAGCCCTGTAGACATATTAATAAGCCTAATATTATCTTCATTTTTCTTCATTCACCTGTAGGTATGCAGAGCATGTATTACACTGAACCAGTAAGTGAGATGTGATATCGTGGCTACAAATAAGAAATGACTGATGGCTCATTTGCATTTTAATTCATTTGTATTTTACCACATATACCATCCCACCCTTTCACTTCATATAAATACTGGAAATGTAAGATGAAAAACTATGATGGTGACACATTCAAGGATTATATAAATCTTAGATTGTAAGATTGTAAGGCCCTTCTAACCCTCTTGTATTGAACTGTATTGTTGCTGTATTGTCTCCCTTTATATTGTAAAGCGCTGAGCAAACTGTTGGCGCTATATAAATACTGTATAATAATAATAATATAAAAATTTTGGTCTT